GTTGAAAGGGACGAATGTGTAATTTGTTGGGCCAATTATTGGGGTCCAGAAGTTCATCCATTGACAGATCAAAACTCCCTATTTTGAAGCATTTTTTTTATACTTGGATTTGAGGTCAAAACAATCAACGTTATTATCAGGAAAGACTTTTTTTACATATTCCTTAACATTATCGATGGTAGTACACTAGTCTAGTCCACCAATCCATATCCAGTTCCGTTCAGGAGCAACTGTGAGTAGATCACTAGGATGTCCTGTGCCATATGATTTAGCAGTAGGTAGTTGTGAAGATGTATTACTTTTTTTTATTTTTTTATAAGTTACTGAATTCCAGGAGTTGTCTATAGAGGTACCAGGGGGATTTGGGTAAGTATCGTTAATCAGGTTAATGATTTCATCAAATTTTTTCATTGTTTGGACTTCCAGTAATTGTAAGTTCGAATTACTCTTATCTGATGTATCACCCTGTATGCCTGGACTTAAAATATTGTTTGATAGTTTTTTGTTGTTATTGGATTTCATAGATGCTCGGTTGTTTTTACTTTGGTCTTTTTTTGTATCATTAGGGAGATTAGAGTTACTTTGGGCAGTTTTTTTGTGATCAGGTTGATTAGTTGATGCTTCTATGAACTTTAAAGATGGGTTATTTTCCAGGAGTATGATTTTTTCAGATAAAAGTGCAATGAGTGTGTCTTTGTTCCTGATGATTGTGTCCTTGTCCATGATTATCTGCCTTAGGAGTTTGTTTTCTTCCCTCAGATAGCTTGTTTCAGAGAGTGTATCTGAGTCATAATCTGGTGCCTGGAATTTCGTGCTGAGAATCACTTCACAACAAGAATTTACTCTTTTTGCACAGCTACTATGATACATAGATTCACAGGTAACACAACACAAGCCCGTACTGACGTTTTTCTTGCAGTAATTGCAGATTTTCTTTAGCCCATCAGAGCCGACATTCTTACTGGCATCCATGTTGAAGAAACGCACATAAGAGATTAGTGAAAATATATCAGTCAAAAAACGGTTAATAATGGAAAAGAGTCAAAAAAAACAAGAAAAATAGTAAATACTGCCATGAGGTCTAAATGAAAATCAAAGTTTTGTCTTGTAGCCTATGGCATAATTTGAGTCTAATGTTGTTCTATCTCTTCAGTATTTAATTGTAGTGATGTGGAAACACTACCTTCATAATTTTCCAATTGTTGCTCTGGTAAAAGAGTGGATTTTCTCCTTTTAGCAAAACGAATTGTTCTTTCTGATTCTTCAGTTTGCTTTCTCTTAAATAAGAGGTTCAGGGTGGGCACAGCATCAGTTTTCAAAATACGGGCGTTTTTTGTTGAAAAAGTACCATATTGCTCTTTGACTGATAAATCTTCGAAACAATCTTTATGGAAATGAATAGAACAAATAGTTGCTGAAAACCATTGAATACCTAATAAATTATGTGTCATCATTGCTTTAATTAATACACACCATTTTTCAAATCTACCTATCAAATCTGGCTAGATTCAAAAATATCTAAGGATACTTCTGACAACAGAAACCTCAAACTAAGTGACACCACCAGAGCAAGGGACTCAAACTTAAGTATCTTTCATCTCAATGTACAGTGTCTTAGTAACAAACTAGATGACTTATCTATGTTCTTATCAGACAACCTGTACTCTGTGACATGTTTTAGTGAAATATGGCTGACAAGTGAACAGCTTCTGTCCGCCGGTATAAGTAATTACAAATTGGTAAGTTATTTCTGCAGACAGAAATTTAAACATGGGGGTGTTGCAATTTTTGTACAAGAAAATCTATTCGCTATGGAAATCAACGTAAGTTATTTCTGTAATGAATTGGACGCTGAGTTCACAGCTATACTTATTCAAAATACTGTCATAGTAACAATCTATAGATCGAACCGTGGCAACTTCGATATATTTTTAAATTCTCTGGATAATCTGCTAGAATCCCTCACTAGAAAATACCCAAAAGTTATTCTGCTAGGAGATTTCAATGTCAATTTTCTTGCAGACAATAAAGAAAGAAACAGTCTCAATAATACCCTTCTTTCTTATAACTTTGAAACTCTTTTATGTGAACCAACGAGAGTTACTCAATATTGCTCCACATGTATCGACAACATATGCACTAACTTCAACTATAAAAAAATTGGAATTGTTAAAGAAGATATTTCTGACCACTATGGTCAATTTATCGAAATCGAGATAAAAAATAGTTCGAACCAGGGTAAAAATGCGCCCAAACAAGTTAGACACATTAGTGAATTGGCTAGAGCTGAATTTGTACAATGTATAAACAGAATAGATTGGACAAGCTACTATTTAACTAACGATCCAAACATCCTCTCTGAATTTATATGTGAAAATATCACATATGCATTAGAAACAGCTTTTCCATTGAAAAATATAAATCAAAAAGCTCTAAAACCTAAGTGGTATACTGAGTAACTGAAAGTTATGAGGGAGGATGTAAGACGAATAAAACGCCAATACATAAACACAGGAGACTCCGAAATAATACGAATGTATCAAACCAAAAAAAAAATATACAGAAAATGTGAAGAAAGCAAAAAGGAGAATGTATGATAACGTTATCACAAACAGAAAGAACCCGGCAAAATCAGTTTGGAAGATCGTAAATAAATTACAGGGTAAGTCAGGTAAAAGTAACAACCACGATACCTGCCTTACTGCAAATGATTTCTGTGAATTCAGCTCTACAATGATCGATAACATTATTAAAAAAAATACCTCTCACGGATGAATCTGGGATGATCTCGTTAAAATAACTGTGAAAGATTCAGTATTCTTGAGTCCCACAAATGAAAAAGAAATAGCAAGTGTGATAAAAACACTCAAAAATAGTTCAACTACGGATGCATATGACATAAGCTCCAAAATAATCAAACTCATACCGGAAATCGTAAGCACACCACTCGCACACCTAGTTAATACATGCATGGAGAAGGGAGAATTTCCATCATATCTGAAACTGTTTAGAGCAACCCCAAATATGAAAAAAGGTGATATAAATAACTGTGATAATTATAGATATATAACAATTACTCCAATAATATCAAAAATAATTGAAGCAATTATCAAAGACAGAATAACGAGCTTTTTGGAAAACGGGAAACATGTCGATGACCACCAATATGGATTTCGATCGCTGAGATCAATTTCACAAGCTGTTACTGAGATACTTCACTCAATAGCAAAAAATCTAGACGTAGGAGTACATACACGTGCAATCCTATGCGACTTGTCGAAATCCTTCGACAGTGTCTCACATGGCATCCTATTAAAAAAGCTCCATAAATACGGGAAACGTGGACCAGCTCTTCGACTCATTAAAACATTCATTACGGACAGAAAACAATACATATCCTACAATAATGTGACCTCCAGGACCATACAAATCAAACATGGTGTACCTCAGGGTTCAGTCCTGGGGCCACTGTTGTTTATAATCTATATGAATGATCTGCCAACCTTCTTAGTCATCGCAGATATATTTATGTACGCAGATGACTCAACTTTTTTAATCAGAAGCAGGAATTTAGAAGAGATCGATAGAATGTCAAGTGAGACACTGTCACGAGGTGAAGCTTACTTCAACGCAAATATTTTATCTTTGAATAAAAACAAAACTGAAGAAATAACTTTCTCAAAAAATAAAGCAAATGATTCATCAGTCAAAATACTAGGATTTCACATAAATTCCAACCTGAACTGGAAAGAACACATTCAGGAATTGCAAAAAAAGCTGTCCAGAAGTCAATTTTTATTTAGAAATATCAGAGAGATAGTATCAATTGAAGTTCTGAAAACTGTATATTACGGTGTGGTTCACTGCCACTTAATGTATGGGATTTTATTATGGGGCACAAGCTCAGCGTGCCACCAGTTATTGATAAATAAAAAAAAATTGTTAGAACTATGGCGAAGGCTGGACCAAGGGAACATGCCAAACCATTGTTCATCAAAATGCAAATTTTAACACTTCCATGTATATATATATATTACAGAAGCCATCTTGTGGATACACCAAAACAAAAATGCGAACACTACGGGGAGTGAAATTCACAAGTACAATACCCGCAATAAAGAATTGTATAGACTACCTCGAGTGAACTACACTGAAACAATGAAGCAGACTGACTATCTACCAATTAAACTATATAACCTTATACCGGTGGATTGGAAGACATTCACTACAAAAAAGTTGAAACACTACGTAAAACAATCACTCCTTGTAAATCCACTTTATAATATTGAAGATGTTTTTTCCCATATATGGACTTAATATTTAGTACTGTCTATTCAACGTACTACCTTACATAAAGCCTAGTTTCTAGCACTATCTCATTTTTACAGCTTTACGAATATTATTTACATAGTTTTACAATGACGTACATTATGAATGTGTTTTTTCATGAGTTTTCAAAATGACGTACCTACACAATTATGTTGTGAATTTATCACATAAACATTTTTGTAATTTTTAAAGGTCAATAAATATCTTATCTTATCTTAAATTGATGTTGTCCTTCCTCCTACATGCTGAAATCCATTGTTTAGACAGTTCTTTGCTCTTTGGGAATCGAAAATACTTAATATTGGTCCCTTTTGTCATTCTGTTGTAATTATTACAACCAAAAACCGCACAACCAAGCATTCTTAGTTATATACCTACCTACTCGTATTTTTGATTAATTATTGAAGCTTCGAATACGACACTAAATTGACAAAAGCTAATTAAAAATGTTTGAAAACCACTCTTGACAATAATTTCGTAATAATTCTTAAACTTCACAGCACAACAGAGAACTTGTGAGAAATTCAAATTGAATTTAGGCAAGTCTACGAAGTTACAACCCCTATATGCTTCGCTCTCTCGTCATCTGCGCGAACTGGACGCGTTTGGAACTAACGAGTAGCATACCGTTATGAGCGTATCGTGATTTCAGTGTAAAGTCTGCTCAAAGTCATTTCTTCAGAGTAGTAATTTGAAATCTCATGAAAGAACCCATACTGGTGAAAAGCCATTTCAGTGTAAAATCTGCTTGAAGTCATTTAATCGAAGTAGTATTTTGAAAACTCATGAAAAAACACATTCATAATGTTTTTTTATGCGGAACGTATACTGAGAAAAAACCATTTCTAATTCTGAAGTCTTCGAAAACTGAGTACTGTTTACAATTGTTCAATAGTAACTACATTATAAACACAAAAGCAAATATGACTAAATAATTAAACATGAATTACACATTATGAAGGTACAAAACATTAAACAGATAGAATTAAAAGTGCTATATTTTTCAGAGAGATTAATTTTTGGGAACAACAGGTTTTGGCTTTCCACTTCCACATCTTTATACAAAAAATTTAGGAATGAAGGAAGAAAGCTAATAATTTTGAAATAAACTCTTCACAAAGAGGTGCAGATCATGCAGAGAACTAACTTTAAGACACAAACTGGAAGAAAAAGTCTTTTCAAAACAACTGATAGCTGTACATTTGTCAATAAGAAATGTGTTCTTTCAATAAGAAAGTATACATTGTTTGAATTACTAATTGTTTCAAGTCTGACCGGTTCTTTACTTGCTAGAAAACGACAATATCGTCAGCAAATGAGTTAATTTTTTCCCACATTCGAAGTTGGATGTAGTCATTACTACGTGATAGTAGATCATAAAAAATGAGAAATAAAAGTATGTTTTTTACCACTTGTATTTGTAACTAACGTTAAATTCTATAATTAGGACGAAACTGCAGTAACATTAATTACAAATACAATACAAGTGGTTAGGTTTGGTCAAAAAGACCCGGAAGAGTTTATTGTGGCTCAAACAAATTTATCTCTCTTAAAAATATAGCACTTTCAATGAAATCTATTTATGTGTGCAATTCAAGTATAATTATTTAGTTATATTTGTTTTTATGTTTATAATGTTGAAA